AAAAGAATAGTTCATCCATCTTATTTACAAGTGAGTGTAATTAGATGGAACATAGGGAGAAAAGTTCTTACCCCTCTCTTTCTCAGTCTATGGAGAATTCCTATTCGTTTATGCATCCTCTTTCTATGTAAACCAAGGACAGACATATTCTTCTGATTCTAACTCCTCAGACTTGAGGATAGGATCACCAAAATTAAAAGATACTATATGACCATAAGTCTATCAGTCCGACTTCATCACTATTTCTTTTCTGAAAAAAGCTTCTGGGGGACACACACCAAAGAGGCATCTTCATAGAAAACCTTGTTTTATTTTTATTCCAAACTCTTAGAACGGCATGTTTAACAAAGTGATTGTTAAAATCACCATTTACTTTAACCTTTCATATCATAAATAACTGTGGCTTCCAAATCTTAATTCATGACTCTCTAGATCAAGTAGCCTCTTATTCTGGAGGTTCACCCACTCTTTTAACCAGACCAAACAACAAGCATCGAAATACAATTTCAAGTCTGGTAAACCCAAACCCTCTCTTTCCTTAGCATCTTGCAGTAGTTTATATCTAATTCTTGGGTTTTCTTTTTCCCTTACCATATAAACTTAGAAATATCCATCTGCCATTGTTTAAATGGAGTATCAGTTGCAAGGATTGGTAACAAAAAAAGTACGGTAAGAACTTAAACGGTAAGAACATTCATCTTAGTTACATAAATTCTACCCAATAGCAATAAATGCACTTTATCAATCATAATAAGTCCTTTTTGATATCATTTCTTCTTCATTTGTAAAGACTGGAAGATGAATATTGCTAGAAAGATGCCTGGTGTTGCCTGATGTACAGGATCTCATCTTTTGTGTATGTAATCCGCAGGGAGTCACAGACAATAATTTAAAAATAACATCAAAGCTATTAGAGAGCATTTCACAGAGGCTGCCATCAGGGGCGGCTTCTTGAGATGAAAAATCCAGGTTGTTATCAAATATTCATTTAATTCTTTTTTACAATCCTTTACAATCATCTCCTTTTGTGGAATAGATGCATTTAGTCTCCATCTATATAATTCAGGATCTTTTTTCTAAATATCAAAAGAACTGGATTCTGGTCTGAAAAAGATTTATGTAAGATATCTACTTTTAAATTTTCATTTGCAAGACTTTTAGAAATCTGTATCATATCAATTCTTGAGAAAGATGTATGTTGTTCTGAAAAAAAAGTTGTCTAAACTCCTAACTCTTTGCCTTTCCTGCCTAGTTGCTCGTAGGCCACTGAATTTTTTTAGGCTCTTACTTGCATTATTTGTCCCAATATAAAAGATGAGAAAGGGATAATAATCAGAGGGCTTCATTATTTTATTGAATCTCTCTGTCAAATCTTTAATCCTTGCACCTGGGACACTAGAAACACAAGTGTACTGAAAAACCATCTACACAAATCAAATGCTCCACTACCAAACCAATAACTGAAACTCCCATAAGAGAAGTTATATAATAACTCTATTTAGATGACCACAAACACACTGCAGAAACCCTAAACAGCAGAAAAAGGAAACAAAGCATTCAAAGCATCTATTCTACACTATCTTCCAACAAAATGGATATCTATACAACTTCATGAAAAAGTGCCTGACCATTCAAAAGAACCGTAAAAAAGAACAACACCAAAGCATCTCAATAACCACAAACCAACAGGCTATTAAAACCACATGGAATTAGTATAGCACACAAACCAGCTCCTCCAAAACATCCTAAGTAATCCAAAAGGCCCAACAGAATCATCTACAATTTACAGTGTAAAGACTGCAACAGCCACTATGTGGGACAAACAGGCAGAAGACTAGCAGAAAGCATCCATAACACCACCAGCAGACAGAAGATATTATGAAAACTCTTTAATTTCACAATATATGGACAAATTTAACTGGGAAACTGGGAACATCCTAGACCAAGCCAAATCTAAAAATGCTAGAGAATTTCTGGAAGCATGGTATTCTAACAAATTGGCCATCCCTCAATAGACACATAAACAACATCTACATACTGGGCAAAAGAGACAATCAACAAGTCAAAAAGGGAACAAAAAGACCAAAACACCTCGCACCAGGATGAGCACAAACACCAAAATTAACATCTGATTAACAATCAAGAAGTAAACAATATCCAATCAAGAAACTGCCAAACAGGCCAATAGTAGATTTAGGTTTTTGAAAGCTCCATGTTAATCTATTATGCTGAAATGTACTTGCTTCTAGTGCCAAAATATACTTGCCCTTTATTTATGGGGATAAATAGAAATACAGCTACTTTGCTTGCTTTGTTAAAACTCTCAAGCAAGACCATATCAACACACATACAGAGGATATTAAGAGAAATATCCTCTGCAGGCATGGCGAGAGCTAATCTAATTTATACAAAGTCTAATACAGAGAATAAAGCAACAACATCTGGAGAATGACCCGACCTTGACTCTGTTGTTAGAAGACGACTGGAAAATCTGAGAACATTCAAAGATGTTTTTTTTCCTTTTGAAGAATTATAAAAGTAACTAGTTTGCAAATAACTAAACTTTCTTAAAACTGTCTATTGGATAATGGGTTGGAAAGATTGGAGAAATTTAGTGGATTAATTTGGTCTAATTTGGATTTCGACTATTAACGTTATTTAATACAATATTCTATGAGGCAAAAGAAGAAAAGGGTCAAAAGAAAAGAGAGAAGGAAATAAGACTGTAAAATTTGGACAATTGGGAGATATATAATTGGGGAAATGTGGTTCCACATTTTCCAAGATTCCAAGAGAGAGAGATAAAAGGCTGACCAAAAATCAATAAATGATGGAATTTTAGAAAGATTAAAAGATGATGGATAATGAGAAAATATACTGCTCAAAAAAATAAAGGGAACACAAGCAGAAGACATCTGAGATCTGAGATCTGAATGAATGAAATAGCCTTATTAAATATTTTGTTTTTTACATACAGTAGTTTATACACTGCTCAAACAACTAAAGGGAACACAAAACTACTGTATGTAATGAACAAAGTATTTAATAAGGCTATTTCATTCAGATCTTGGATGTCTTCTGCTTGTGTTCCCTTTATTTTTTTGAGCAGTGTCTATTAATAAAATGGGAAAATACCATAACCCCAATAGGTTCATGTTAGTAGATGGTAGTTTAAGAGTAGACAATTTAACTATAATATTAATATTATAATTAATAATATTAATAATTAATAATAATTAATTAATTATTAATATTAATATTAATATTAACAGTGTGTTAAAATATATTGTGAATTTAAAATATTAAGGATTAGAAATGGTGGGGATTTTGAGATATACTCCCGTGATGGATTGAATATTGTTAATAACTGGTATTATTAGTAATCCTATATATTTGGAATATTAATGCTATGGTGGAATAATGAGAGATTTTTAAAATATGGAAGGATAACATTTACTAAGGGATAACAAACACAGGGTGCAAAGAAATGTTATTCATGCCTAAGTGAATCAATGGGAAAATGTGAAAGGAATATGAAATGAGACTAGTATTGTTCGAAGTTGGAAGATTAGAACTCCACATATTATTTGTATTATTATTGTTAACGTTGTATAAAAAAAGTTTGCCCAATCAATGCACTGTCCACAAAGATTTATTTTGGGGGGGGGGGGAACAGACAAAACAAAAACAATTTAAAGTCACTGTCATGGCTCCATTTGCAAACCCAGCTCACAGCCTGACAAGAAGCAAAGGGGTGGGGGGTATGGGTTGGAATTCAAGGGTGGGGGTAATGGAATGCAAGAGCACAGACTCTGCTGAGAGACATACCAGCATTCCAAGGTCACCGGCTAGGAAAGTTCACCAGAATCCGTTACCCAAACAAGCTAAACAATTGATTGGATGGAGTAAAGTGACAATGGGAGGGCCAAGGAAAAAAAGGGAACATATAACTATGCTGTTTGCATGTGAAACGTTAGAATTTGCTTTACTTCTTCCATATCCATATCTGCTCGGTAAATTATACTATTGGAAACAAAAAATGGCCCAGGAGTCTTTATTTGCTGCATGCATTGAGTGGGACAGTTGACAGTCACTTTCATTGGAACTGATTCGTTAGTCACCTTAATTCAATATACCACACTTTTTTTTCCTGCTTTTTTCAACCTGACCTTTTTAGCTAGGTATTGTCTGTCAACTCAGTGCATGCAAGTCAGTGACAAGCAAAATTAGATGTCAGATATAAAAGATATCAGCAGAGAATACTAGTTAGGTAAAAGAGATTTCAATTAAACATAAAGGACTGTTTTTAAAGTTCAAATATGGTAATACTACTTTCAGAATATACAAGCAATTTTCAAAAAGCTTTACACTCTTAGAATCTTTTAAAAATTTAGAATAGTTGCTTGAGTACTGATAATAATCCTTTAAAATTAATGAGTCATTTATAGTTTATGAAAGGCAATTCTGAATGTTAGAAATCTCTTTAAAAAAGCATTCAAGTACAAAAAATCCACTGTACTATTCAGCTTCCCCATTTTTTTCACCTAATTCTTAATAATTCTTTCCTCCAGCAAATGTGTCTATGTGTGAAATACAGTAGTTTCTTTCAGTAATCTGGATTCTATGGCCCTATTAACGTATCCTGAGATAGATTAGCATTTTTAGCAGCTGCATCACATATTGGCTTCAGATTCTACCCGCACCCCCGTTCCAGTCATATATATATATTACTTGTAACAAGGTGGCTTTCATCTGTAATCTCTAAAATTAATTTGTTCTCAATCAAAGAACTGGTGAATATTTATATTAATTTTGAACAACTCCTTGCTAAAACTTTCTATTTTTAATCATTTTGTTTAAGTACCAAGAATGGCTTGCCTTAAGGCAACAAAAGAGACAAAAGATGACTTTCATCTGAGAAATGCAAGTAAGATTGTCTTAGGTGCATAGAACTTCTGATTCCAGTATGCACATCCAAGTTTTTAATATTATTTAGTTACCTTTTGTGCAGCAAGATGGAGAGCTGTTCTCTGACTATGGTCGGCTTTATCAACATCTGTTCCTGTCTTCAATAAAACCTCAGCACAGTCTAATCTATCAGCCAAGATGCAATACATCAGAGGGGTTCTTCCAAACTGGTCCTCTTTGTCTTTCAGATCAGGATTGCCTAAGAATATAAGCAGTATAATTAGGTTTTATGTAGACTTGCATGAACAGCATTCATATACCTTATGAAAAAATAAATATGAATGAACGACACATTTTAACAGAGAATGCTATCCTAGTAGCTGTAGACATCAATATCAATAGACATGGACATCAACATCAATAGACATGGATATTAATAGGATATTAGGAATGGTTTCATTAAGTAGATATTTTACAAATATACAGCTAGAATTCCTGACAATGATTTACTTAATGTTATTTAAGGAAGTTAACAGAGGCAACCCTTTCAACTCCAGTCACATATATATCAATCAAATATGATAAAATCCATATTCTGAAATGGTTCTTGTGAAATAGCTGCCTAGAGTAGGAAGAACAGCTAAGAAGAAATTAATATAAATAGTTATGAGGCCTACTCTATGCATGCTGATTGAGCCAGCAATAAAGACTGACCTTAGGCAGAACTAACATGCTTTGAATACAGGAACAATTACTGTACGTTATGTGATTTGCTCCCCTGTGAACAGAACTGGAAAATAGAGACTTTATTTGCTATTGATAACTATCTTTCAACGGAACATTAGCTCTGTTTGGGAACAATAAGACTTGTACAAACTGATACTATGTTAATAATTAATGTTTTTATATTCTTTTATTGTGTTATAAGCTGTTCAGTTATTTTGATAGTGAAATGAGTGGCATATAAATTTAATAAATAAATAAATACCATGACATGCTTTCCCAGGTTTTTTTGTTTTGTGATTTCAAGTAAAGTGAAGGTCTGATTATTTAAATTTGGTAGCATCCAGGCATGGAAATGGAATGATTAGAAGGATAAGAATGCTGTTCCTCTGCTTCATTCAAAGGATCCTGGCATATATCAGTTAGGAACCTACCTCATACATATAGTTGGAATGCTTGGCCTTAGAAATTTGTAATGCAATTTGCCCTTGGGAATTTCTAAATAATATAATATAATGGCAGGAAACAGCATGATTGAAAGAAGCGTATTGAAATAGGCCTTGCTGAAAGAAATTCTAAACTTGTATGTGAAGATAATTTGTTGTGCAAAAGAAACATACCCAAACAGAAATGAGAATAGATCCCCCGAGCCTGAGATAGTAGATTTTGATACTCAACATCATAAAACAATGAGAAAAGTCTTATTTTGCTTCTTTCTCTTTTGGATTGAGTAATTCAGGTGGCGATAGTCCCTTCTCCGTAACTATATTATTTGAATTGACAGTCATGAATTGTGGAAAGAATGTTGCAGTGACACTGAGGATTCCTGTTTTTAGCCCAATTTAGCCAATTTAGAAAAATGAATATTACACTATTACTATTAGAAATGAGCCAGTTTCTAAACATGCTTGTCTATATAAAGTCTTCTCTATAGGTAATCCCTTCGTAAACAATTAAGTGTAATCAGGTCTTCAATCCATTGAATAAGTGGAGCAATATATTTATCTCTCCAATGCTATACCTCTGTCTTTTCGCCATAGTAAAGGCACAGATAATATAGTTCAAGAGAATATTATTCCGTGAAAATCTTAGCTCATGTTTATATAGTCTTACTATTTACTTTTAAAAATTGTTAAATAAGGCATTATAGAAATATATGCTTTAAAGATGCATTATTCTTTATTATTATACCCCCAACAAAATGCTGCTTTTAACAGTCTTTTTCTATACAAATGTAATGGAGTCCAGTAAATTTTAAATATATTTTTTTTGTCATGTCATAATTTGACACTGACACGCCTGCTATGGAAATTATACATTCTCCCATTGTCTAGGCCTGTGATGGTGAACCTATGGCACGCATGCCAGAAGTGGCACACAGAGCCATCTCTCCGGGATGCCAGCTGTCGTCTGTTGCTCTTCCGGGTTCTGGCGTGCACATGTGTGCCAGCCAGCTGCTTTTCGCATGTGCAGGAGCACCAGTAACCAGAAGAGCAGCTCCCTGGTGTACATGCACACACTGGAAAGCTGAGATTCTGGTTTCTGGCATGCAGATGCATGCCAGCCAGCTGGTCTTTGCATGCGGATGCACACCAGAAACTGGGAGACCAGGTGATTGGCATGCATATGCATGCGCATGCCGGAAACCAGAAGCTCAGCTTCCTGGTGCGCAGTTTCCTGGGCTCCCATGTGTGCGCGCCGGGGGAGCTGCTCTTCTGGTTTCTGGTGCTCTGCTGCCCATGTGCGTATGCTCCCGTTTCAGCACTCGGTGCCAAAAAGGTTCACCAACACTGTTCTAGATAATATTAGGAACCTCTTATTCTTTATTCTGGCCATTTTTTAATATTTGCATACAAATTGTGAGCAAGTAGCAGCAGGCCCAGTTGAGCAATGGTTGAGTATGCAGTGGGCTTGTGAGCAAGTAGCAAGTCCAGCTCCGTGGTGGGCATGTGAACAAGTGGCAAAAGCAGATGATCCAGAGATGAGGGAGAGCGAGATTAGGGAATGGCTGACTGCTGTGTGGAAAGTTAGCCACCGGTGAACGAACAATCAAGCAGCAACGGGAGACAGCTGAGTGGCAAGCAAATGAATCAGCAATAGCAGTGGATGGCAAAAGGTGAGCAGGCCCAGACAACTGGACCCAGCTCCTCATGAGATTGTCAGATCCGCTGGGACTGGTTCAATTGGGAGCTGCCAAGAGTTGTCTGAGAGATGGATGGCTATTTAAATATTTTAAATAAATAAATAGGGATCCCCTGGTAGAACAGAAGTATCCTGGGGAATCTCCTGGTGTGACAAGAAGGATTGTGTTTCTACCCATTGCTTCTTGTCCTGCCCTCAGATGCTTTGGACAATAGCTTGACTCCTCTTTTTTGTGGCAATCCCATAAGTATCGGAACACTGCTATGATATCACCCCCTAGTCCCGTGATGGCGAACCTATGGCATGGGTGCCACAGGTGGCTCGTGGAGCCATATCTGTGGGAACGTGAGCATTGCCCTAGCTCAGCTCCAGCGCACATGTGTGCACCAGCCAGCTGATTTTGGGGCCTTCCAGGCCCATTGTAAGTCAGGAAATTGGCCGTTTCCGGCCTCTGGGGGGGTGGGGAAGGCTGTTTTCACCCTCCCCAGGCTCCAAGAAAGCTTCTGGAATCTGGGAAGGGCAAATAATGGGCCTACCGGGCCTATTGGGCCCACCGTTAACCTTTTTGCCATCATGTGCCAAAAGCGGGGGTAGCGCAGGGAGTCACATGCGCATGCGCGGGGGTGCAGGGTGTCATTGAATTATGGGTGTGGGCACGCGCACACACAACCCCCCCACGCTCCCCACGCTTTTGGCATGCGATGGCAAAAAGGTTAGCCATCACTGCCCTAGTCCTTCTTGTCATTAAAACAGACATACCCAATTCCAACAACCGTTCTTTATATGTTTCAGCCTCCAGCCCCCTAATCATCTTTGTTGTTCTTCTCTGCATTCTTTCTAGCGCCTCAACATCTTTTTTACATCATGGAAAGCAAAACTGAATGCAGTATTCCAAGTGTGGCCTTATCAAGGCATTTTTAAAGTGGTATTAACACTTCACGTGATCTTGATTCTATCCATTTATGCAGCCTAGAACTGTGTTGGCTTTTTTGGCAGCTGCTGCACACTGTTGGCTCATATTTAAATGGTTGTCCATTAGGACTCCAAGATCCCTCTCACAGTTACTACTATTGAGCAAGGTACCACATATACGGTACCTGTGCATTTTGTTTTTCTTCCCTAAATGTAGAATCTTACTTTTTTCACTGTTGAATTTCATTTTGTTAGATAGCGCCCAATGTTCAAGTCTGTCAAGATTCTTCTGTATCTTAAGCCTATTTCTGGAGTGTTGGCTATTCCTGCCAGCTTGGTGTCATCTGCAAATTGATGAGTTTCCCATCTATCCCCTTGTCCAAATCATTGATGAAGATGTTGAAGAATCCTGGGCGGCTTACAATGCGTTAAGCAATAGCCTTCATACTTTTGTATATACCTGCTTACTAGGGCTTTCGGCCCCGCCCTAAGCGGTGTTCTTTTTTATACAAAGTCAGCTTATTGCCCCCACAAACCGGGTCCTCATTTTACCTACCTTGAAAGCATGGAAGGCTGAGTCAACCTTGAGCCTGGTGAGATTTGAACTTGCAGTAATTGCAGGCAGCTGGTGTTATTTAACAATGCTTTAGTCTGCTGCGCCACCAAGGCTCATCTAACCCACATTTTTTCTATCTTATAAAGTAGTAGGTTATGGTCTACTTTATCAAATGCCTTACTGAAGTCCAAGTAAATTATATCCACAGCATTCCTCTGGTCCACTAATTTTGTCACTTTGTCAAAGAATGCAATAAGATTTGTCTGGCATGATCTGTTTTTGACAAACCCATGTTGACTTTTGGTTATTACTTTGTTTGCCTCTAAGTGTTTGCTGATTTGTTGCTTGATTATCTTTTCCAGAATCTTCCTGGCCGTTCCAACACTGCCTATCTTCAGTGGCTGCGTAAGGATGAACAGTTCATAACTACAGAACAAGTGGCCAGATTCTGCGCAGCAGCACTGGGGATTCATCGCAAATACATGTTTTCTCCACCATAGCGACATTATGTAACAACTGTGGCTAACCCTTTGCACTGCTTAGTCATTTCCCTTTTAGCATTGAACCTACAACAGACCACACAATTTAGGGATTGCAACTATCAAATAGTCAGATCATGTATAATTGACACTGGATTTTATTATAGATTTTAATTGTTATTTATTATTTTATACTAAAATTTTTAAATGTATATACTGAATGCTTTTATTTGTTCTGGTCTAAGTCTGTAATAATAATAAATTGAAATTTAAAACAGGAGTCATTAAATAACAGACATCAGCCCCAGCCTGGGACCAAAGCCAGTTTTCAAAGATTTCATTCTTATTTCTGGGAGTGGGGGATGCTGTTCAGAGGGTAGAAGCCACAACAAAGAAGGCATCCTTCCTAGTTCGCACAAAATGGCAATATTTAATGGACAGGGCATTAAGCATATTCACTCTCCTGGAATGTACTGAGTCATTAGAAGATAAATGATCTCTCAGTAGCCAGACCTTATAACATCATATAGGGTTTTATAAGTAATAACCAGCATCTTGAATTGCACTTGGAAGCCAACTGACAGCCTGTTTGTTTGTTCAATTTCTATAGCTGCCCATCTCAGCGAATGACTCTGGATTTAAATTCAGAACATATATTACAATTAAAATTTTTAAAGAAACATTTAAAAATCAATGTATCTAGCAATGTAGTAGTAACATATGGCTACATCCTATTACAGCTTGTTTTTCTGCATTTTGAATTGCTTGTATTGGGGTGATCTTCAAGGGTAGCCCCATGTAGAGCAATTGCAATAATCTAATCGTGAGGTGATTAGGGCATGAATGACTATCCAAAGGGATTTTTTTTATTGAAGAAATCATGCAACCAATATACAAGATGAATCTATGGACACACCTGCCACCTTCTCTTTGAAGGTGCAAGTCCAAATGCAGAGGAGACCCCTGATTGCACACTAGTTGTCAACCCTGAAGCTGACCTGACTGAAGCCATCTTGGAGCTTCAGCGTTGCCACACTGGAGCTGAGGGATAGGGAGTGGGGATTAGAAATAGCTAGGTTGTGTAGCCAAATTAAAATACTTTCTCTTGGGAACCGAGGAAGTTCTCACACCTGGACCGTGGAAGGAGGAGTGAGGTCACCAGACAACCAGACAGTGTCTTGATTGGACCATGTGACTGATTATTTGGGGCTGTGGGAAAACTTTCTCTTTTAATTAGGTGAAAACTGCAGGAACCTTCAGAGTTGATTTTCACCAGATCTGGTGAAAGCTATTATTTGAGGAATTCACCTGCCTCAAAGTTTTGCTTGCTATGGGACTATTATTTGGAACCCTTACACTAGTTTTGACTGGAGGAGTGAAGATCCATCCAAGACCAAAGATGTTAATAATTTCAAACCAGGGGGTCCAAACAGTTACATTTACTCAGTCTTGTTAGGATTGAGCAGAAATCTCTTCTGCCCTATGCAGATCCAAATAGCTTCCAGATAAAGGGTCATTACATTGACAATTTCACCTGTACCACTCAGGGAACAGATGTAGAGATGCAAACTTTTTCTCATTTTGCAGAGTTTAAAATGATGTAGTTTTGAAACTACAAATCTATATAAAGATACTTCTATTTTCACCTTAAGATCCACTTCTTCAAGGTAATAATTTTTTTCTGCCCCCTCCCCTTTCCCATTGATGTCACCATACTCCTTGGTCCATTGAAAAATCATAAGATTGCAGTTCTCAACTCAAAATATTCTTCTGTATTTTAATAAAAATAATCTGAAAAATTGCATCTCTACTTCATATTCCTTAGTCTAATAAAGGGATATTATTCTGACATTCTTTAAAAAGGGTGGAAAAATTCAATATTTCTGCTTCACTTATTTTCAGATAGAATCAAGAATCAGTGATGACCTTAAGTGTAAGTACTTTTTTCAGAGCAGGATTCACTATGCCAGAACTATGAGGTAATTTATAAATTGACTTTCTCTCACAATTGAGACATATAATAGTGAGAGAGTCAATTGTTTCTACTGTTGAAAAATAGTAGCCTTGTGGGCTTCTTAATATTCTGATGGAAAATACATTTAGAAGTCTGAATTAACATCATGGGCTCCAACACAAAAGAACTGCCAACATAATAAGATCAAGTATAATGTATACTTGATAAGAAACAAAATGGTGATCAAAAAGATAAGTAACAAACCCCATAAATAAATGTGCCCATAAATGTTCTCACAAGTTTCATATGTCTACCATAATCAAATCAGTAATGAAATACAGTCTATATATTATAGGACTTTTAAATTGCATACTGCACATATAGCAGTGTGCAATAAACCTTCTACTTTCTTTATTAGTCTATCTGTTTACAGATAAAACTAAAAGAGAACTTTTAAATGATTAAACATAAACAAATGAGCTAAAGTATAATATAATCTGAATACTTTTACCTGATATTTGTTTTAGGAGAGCTCTTTTATGTCCATTAACAGCAGCAGCATGAACTTGAGATGCTAATGAGGAACCATTGAACAGCCATGTTTCAGAATCATTCATACTTCTGAAAAATTCAAAAATGCATAGTTACAGTAACAATTCTAGTAATTTTTTCACAAATTGAAACTAATATATTTTGGTGAAAACAATTTCCGGAGTACTTTTTTTGATAGAATGGTGCTTACAAGTTTTGAATTTTGCATAAATAATGAACTAAAATGTTATTTATTTTCATGCAAGTCCTAGACAAAAAGAATCCATTCAACAAATGAGTCAAAAATATTAGATTTATTTATTCAATAATGATCCAAAGTTATATATTTATGCATACCGATATTTGGAAAAAAGCAAGAGACTCTCTACGATTATCAGTTCATTTGAAGGGAAACTTTTTAAATGTGTTTTAGTCAATGGAATGAGAATCAAATGTGCTTGGGGAAGGTCTTGTCTTATTTAAAGAGCATTCACTATCAAAGTCTGAACTTCATAACACAGATATGCACAAGTGTATATAGTACTAAGAATAAGTTACTTGAACAAAGAATATTTCTTTAGTTGGAAAAGATTACAAAACTATTTTCAAAGAGTTTGAACTCCGTCATTGTCAGACAGATTGTGTACAAGTAAAGGCAATTCAACACCATTACCAAGGTCATGCCAAAAATAAGGTGTGTAATACTTCAGTAGGTCAAAAATAAGCTGAGGGCAGTGGTGAGTTTCAAAAATTTTTGCTACTGGTTTGGTGGGCATGGCTAGGTGCGGGGCATGTGACTCAGTGGGCATGGCCAACTTGACGTCACTCATGCCCATGCCTACTTAGTCACATGACACCCCCCCCCGCCTAGCCATGTCCACAGGAAAAGATAGGAAAATTTTTGGAATTTCCATCTATCTACCGCTGTCCTCCCTTTGCCAGTCACACCCGTTTCCCCTTCTTTAGCAGCCCCGGCCCTAGCCCCGCTTCCTCCCTCACCATCATCTCTTTGTTTGGGCTGCTTACCTTCCACGGCAGCTGATCCAGAGTTTGGAAGGCAAGCTTATTGGAGTTTTTGGTGGCCCTCAGCCAGCCGCTACTACTGGAAAGCGGCTGGCAAAAAAGTGGCGGCTGGCCACAGAAAAGTGCCAGAGGTCACAGAAAAAGCTGTGGCCGTTGCCACCATGTTCTTTGCGCATGCGCATCCCATTGGACTTGCAAGGCAATGGGATGGGTGTACGCGAAGAACATGGTGGCAACGAACATGGCAGGCGGTGTGAGCAAGTGATGACCGGGGGACCAGTTCGGGAGCGTGGCCAGTCGGCCATCACTACCAGTTCAGTGACCTTGGCCAAATTTCCACAATGATTTGTGTGAACTGGTGCGAATTGGCTGAATACCACCTCTGGCTGAGGGTAATGTCTAAGGAACTAAAGGCTTCTCTTGTATTGGTGAAAGATAGTGTTCATTCACATACATATATATGTGTGTGTGTGTGTGTGTGTGTGTGTAATACACATTGAAGTATGTGGTAGAATATATTTATTAGTAAGCTCAATGTAGTGTCCTTTCCATTGTATAAAGAGGGATAGAATGTTGAATCCAAAAAGAACATATTCCTTGCATTATTGGACATTTTTTGTTTCCTGAACTGGACTGATTCTTACGACCAGCAAGCAGGTGGATCCCAAGATAGCATGACTGACCGACTTGTGCAGTAGTGGGTTTCAATTTTGGCCACTACTGCTTCGCTCGTGAGTATGCACATGCTCACGCGCACGCACAATGCTTCTGCGCATGCACAGAAGCTTCTGCGCAGAGACGTCCAGGTGGATGGGTGGATCCTCCCACCGCTGCTACTGGTTCGCCCAATCCAGGGAGAACCGGTAGCAACCCACCACTGGACTTGTGGTCAGGTAATGGAAACAACCAGATGATCTGTATATAAATGTGAATAAAATAAATAAATAAATAAATCTGTATGAATACAGAAATTCTGAGTTCCTTTTAAAATATTCAAGAAGGCAGTAAGCCAAAGATCTCTTATTTATAGACAAACAGGAGAGGAAGCTTCAACTATCTGTGCTAGATTTGCAGAGCTCAATTTTTCCACTCCCAAATACAACTACATTAAAGGAGAATATTTGTAGCTCGGAGTTGAAATGAGGGCTTGGTGCTCTTTGACTTTGCTTTTTTTCTTGCAGACATTTCGTTACTCAAACTAGGTAACATCATCAGTGCTTGTAAGGAGTGCTATTTGCAGTCAGTTTATATTCTGGTGACTTGCTTGTCTGTGTCAGTGTGGGTGGTCTTAGAGATTCTTTGTTTGGGCTGTTTACTGATGGCTCTTTGGCAGTTTCTTGATTGGGATATTGCTTACTTGGTTGTTGGTCTGAAGTTAACCTTGGAGTTAATCTATGCTGATCTAGATGCTGATTACTGGTGGAGAAGTGCTGAAGTCTTTTTGTTCTCTTTTGGGGTAGTTGATTGTCTCTTTTGCATAATCTATAGATGTTGTTAATGTATATGTATCTATTGGTAGCTGATTTGCCAGAATGCCAGGCTTCTAGAAATTCCCTGGCATTTTTTTCTTTGGCCCAGCCTAGGACAGTCAAATTTTCCCAATTGAAACTATGGTTAAATCCATCTATATGTTGTGAAATTATTTTTATCATGTCTTCTGACTGCCAGTTGGTGTTCATGGATGAGTTCTGCCAGTCTTCTGCCTGTTTGTCTTGCATAGTGATTGTTGCAGTTCTTACATTGTATGTTGTAAATAACTCCTGTTTTTTTCTTATGGGGTTGCTATGTCTTTTGGTTTGCTTAGGATGTTTTGAAGGGCTTTATTTGGCTTGTGTGCTATGCTGATTCCTTGTGGTTATAGTAGTCTCTTGGTGGTTTCTAAGATATTCTTGATGTATGGCAATGTAATTCTTTGCAGAGTTTGTGTTGGTTATGCTGTATTGGATCGAGTAGTCAGGGACTTTTTGATAAAGTTGCATGGATATCCATTTTGTTGGAATGTGTTGTAGAGATGCTCTATTTCCTTTTTCTGCTGTTCTGGGTTGCTGCAGTATGTTGGGGTCATCTAAATAGTCCTTACACATCTTCTCTTGTGGGAGGTTGGATTGTTGCTTTGGCAGTGGAGCATCAGGTTATGGGTAGTTTTTCTGCAGACTTGCATTTCTAGTTTGCCATTGTGGTCTCTGCTGATCAGGATATCCAGAAAGGGAAAGTTGTTTTCTTCTTCTCTAGTAAATTGGATTCCTTTAAAAATGTTATTGATGGTTCTGTGAGTATTCTTTGTCGTTTTTTATTATGGTGAAGGTGTCATCTACATATCTGAACCATATTTTCAGTTGTATTTGTGAAGTGCTATAGCTTCTAGACACATGTCGAACTCCGCTATAAGTCCTGAAAGTGGTGATCCCATAGGTGTCCCTTCAATTTGTTGGTAAATTTGGCCATCAAATTGGAAGTATGTAGTTAAGCAGAGGTTTATGAGATCCATAATCCTGGTATTTCGATCTTTGTGTATTTAATTAAGTCAGGTATACTGTGAAGCAATGTGGTCATGGATTCTTTGGCTAATTCTGGATCTATAGACGTGAACAGGGCTATGACATCAAATGAAATCATGATTTCATCCTCATTTATAATTACATCCCTGATTGTTTGAAGATGCTGTAGTGGAGATGGAGTGTTGGCTTCTTCTTGTGAGATGCCCAAGCTTTTCTGTTAATTCATTTGTAACGTTGTATTTAGGGGTCCCTGGTAGAGATACGATTGGATGGAAGAGTATGCCAGATTTGTGTATTTTGGGACGTCCATAGAAGTGTGGGAGGATGGATCCACTGTTCTCATTTGCCACTGTTCCTCTTTGGTAATTTGGCCTTTCTTAATGAGATCACTGAGGGCTTTTTTTTTTTAATTGAAAAAGTTTTTCAAATACGAATTTTTCCCCCCTTTTCCCCCCTCCTCCCTAACCCCCCCTCCCCCTCCCCCTGTGGCTTCTCCAAAATAAAACCCAAGTTAATAACAGATTATATAATATTTTACCATCCTTTTACTCCACCCCCCACATACTAACCCTTTCTTTCTAACAATATTATTATATCCCCCTTATACTATACATTTCAAAGCAACATTCAACTGTAAAATTATATAATAAATTATAATTTAGCAATTTCATCTATTCAGCTCATTATCTATCCATTTCCTCCTCCCCCATGCATATATCTCTTAATTCAAATCTTTTATGTATATTAATATAACATAACATCCTTTTTCCTAAACTAAACAATCAGTTCTCCACCCTTCTAACAATATTATTATATCCCCCTTATACTATACATTTCAAGGCAACATTCAGCTATAAAATTATATAATAAATCCTAATTTAGCAATTTCAACTCATCCTCCCCCATACATATATCTCTTGATTCAAATCTTTTACATATATTGATATAACATAACATCCCTTCCTAAACTAGACAATCCATAAACTAACCTATCTCCACCCACTTTCCTACAGGTCTACCAGACCTAATATTTTCAATATCTTTATTCTTCTGCCCACACCACTAAAAAAAAAATATTTACATATATATAAAATCCTCAAATGACTTTAAATTTGTAATCCATATGATATCTTCTGTAATGTCTCTCAACTGGATTATTAATTCCATTACCCATGTTAGGGTAACATCACATCCTAATTCCAACAGTATGTTCGGTATCTTCAGTTACCATCTGCCCCCATCAATAGTAAATGTTTTCATATATAAAAAACCACCCGAGTGACTTTATGTTTATATTCCATATAGTGTCGTCTATAATGTCTTCCATCTAGATTATTAATTCCAACCACGGTATTGGGGTAACAACCAGATCTTCTGCGTGCCCCAATCCCATAGTTCTCTTGCCTTATAGCTCAACATAAACGTAATCCATTTGTCAAAGAGTCCAAAATAGAAAGTTCCAATCCACTCAATTTAAGGCCATCTTCCACATCCCAAAAGTACAGCACTGCAGAGGTCTGTCACTCTCATCAAAATAGTATAAACCAATACTTTGCCTCAACTATGTTTTCATATATTCAATCGTCTCTTACGTTACTGGCATTACACTGTTGTTTAGTCTAAAAATTTTTATTTTTGTAGGACCTGCTTCTTCTTTTCTTAACTTTTTGTGGCTTAGATCTCCATCCTGGTTGCCTTTCTATGAGTTGTGTATCAAGTGATTGATTTTCATGCTGGTCTGAACTTTGATAAGTCATCACATTAGAATCCAAAGCTGCCTCTCTTGTATTTATAGATAGTCCAGCTGTAACCTCTGAAGGAGAATCCAAAAGCGAATCATCCACAAAAGCCTCAATAGCTTGTTGTTTTTCCATTACCTCCACCTCCATCTGCTTAGCCTGAATTTCAATCTCTTGTTTATTTTGCTTTTCTTCATTCCTCTCGTGTGTTATACATGGAGATGTTGAACCCATTTTAAGAACCTTATAGTAAAATTCTTCCGCTTTTTCAACAGTATTTAATTGATAGCTTTCTCCTTGATATCTGAATATTATACCAACTGGAACATCCCACCTAAATGGGATGTTTTGTTTTTTTAGCTCAGTCACCAAAAATCCAAAAATTCTTTCTGTCTTTTAACATCTTGGATGGCAGCTCTTTAAATATCCAAATCTTCCTTCCGTGCATTTCAAGAGTGGAATTAAAAGACTTTTGCACGATATCATTTCTTATTTCTTTATCAGTAAAGTAGATCACCACATCTCTAGGCAACTGCCTTTGTTTTGCCACCCAGGAATTAACTCTGTAAGCCTTATCGATCTTGCAGGATACCTCTTCAGGACTAACCTTTAAAATCCCAGCCAGAACCTCAGCAGACACCTTTCTCAAATCTTGTCTTTTATCTTTCTGTATTCCCCTTATTCTGACCGCAAATTCCATGAATCTGAATTGCATCATTGTGGCTTCATTTTCAATTCTTTTTTTATATTATCTACATTGTAAGGCTTGTAGTCAGCTTCCTTTGTTTTTTTAAACTGTTTAAGCTCTGCTTCTGGGCTTTTTTCTTGTATCATTATTAAATCATTTTCAATTCTTTGTATTTTATTGTCCAAGTTATAAATCTTATGATCAACTTCCTTCATATTAGACTCAATTTCTAAATTGAACTCATTATCCATCTTCATAATTATATCTAAGAAACTTTTCATATGTTGCTTCAGGATATCATACTTTTGTTGAACCAACTCTTTAATTTCCTGTCTAAAATTCTCAAGGTTCTGATTCACAATCTTATCATGTCTTGCCATTTCCTCCAGTACAAATTCCCTTAGCTCTGTAAAGCCGTTTTTCTGCGTCTGCAAGCTCACAACTTGTTCATGTGATTTATAAATGGGGGAACCCCCTCCCCCACAGTTTGATTATCTGGCTTTGTCAGTTTTAACGCCATCCTGCCACACAGACAAACTCTTTTTTTTTAAAAAAAAAAAGACTTCTCTCCAAACAATATCAATATCAAATCTCCAAGAAGAGAGAAACATAGAATAGAAATTTTTCTTCTCAATTCTAGCCAGCGCTATTATTTCTGCTACTTTGTAGCTTGTTAAACTATTCAGGCCGAAGGACTTTCGCTTTCAGCTTTCTTCTTCTCAAGCCTCAGCAGTCGCCATTTTAAACTTTTTTTCCTTCACTTTTAAAAATCGCTTATAAAATTGTTAAAAATACTTGCAATTTAGGGTCCAAAGTCCAGATCTCATCCTCTTGGTTTGAACAATCTGTTAATTTTCATTAAAAGGCTTGGTCCCGTCGCCTGGCTCTGCAAGAAGCAGAGTTCTCCCGAAGCCCGGGAGGAAAATAGGGAGCCTCATCCTGCTTCGTTCCCAAGAGTAAAACAAAAACTCTGGGGACCTCGCAGAGGGCTCTACCTGCCCTCGCCAGCTCTGTCTCACATTTCCTTAAGGAAATGGAGTTTTTTGAGCCGCCTTTCAGCTGTGAAGGCGGCTCTTTACAGGCGACGGGGCTGGCGGTCCCAGGAGACCAACTGACAGCGACGGAAGCCAAACCGGAAGCCTCACTGAGGGTTTTCTTGATCTGGTTGTCTAGTTTTTCTTTCTAATGGTGTTCACAGGAATGTAGGTTTCTTTGTCCTCCAGTATTTGTTTTGGTTTTTGTAGGTATTGCACTCTGTCCATAATCACCATGGTTTGGTCTTTGTCTGCAGGTAGGATGATGATGATCTGATCCTTTATTAGGTTTCTGAGGGCTGCTTTGTCTTCTGTTGTAAGTTGATTCTGTTCCTGTCTTCTTCTGATCTGTGGAATGATGCTTTGTCTAATGTTTTTTGGGATCTCTGTGGCGAGTTTGGTGGTTTTAAATGCCCTTTCTAGGGCTGCAAAAAATTCTAGGTGATTGGCATTCGCCTCTATTGTAGTTGAATCCTTTTTGAAGAATCCTGTATTCTACAACTACGTTTCCACATATTCCAGAAAAGTAATCTATATATTTACTTTCTGTTGGTTGCATATGATAGGAAAATACCAAGCAATCACTAATGTGATATCTAAATACACTGAACCATTTATTATTATTTTCATGTTTAAAAAGCTATGTTAATAATTTGCACCTACTTTGTAAAACAGTTAAATAGTCATTTAGCAAGTTCCAAGATTCTTATTTTGTATAGAAAGCACAATAAACTTACTAACAGGCATGCCTTCTTTCTGATTATATCATTAATTTTTTTGCTTCCACATGTAGTTTCCCCCAGGGCCCTTAGTCCCAAGAAGCTTGTCTACAACAGCAATTACTAAATCTTAATTTGACCTATTTCATGAACGTACAAAAAAGCCCTCACAAAGGCTTGTCCTTCATCATGTCTTTCTTTAAAACCTCAAATTGTTTTTAATGTGCTTTCCTATTGCATTATTCTATGTTTATTCCCTATAGCATAGGAAATAGCACCACTTCATGTTCATAACTTTTGCATTCTTATGGTTTTTATTCCATTTTAGGGCAAAGCATCTTGAGTCTTTTTGATTTGTATAGAAGTATATAAGTAAAGAATAACAATAGCCCTACAAATACAAGTAGTCCTCATTTACAACAGTTCATTTAGTGACCATTCAAAGTTACAATGGCACTGAAAATATGACATGATCATTTTTCAGAGTTTGCCTTTGCAGCATCTCCTTTGCATGTGATCAAAATTCAGATGCTTGGTAGCTGGTTCATATTTATGACTATTGCTGTGTCCCAGGGTCATGTGATGACCTTTTGTAATCTTCTGACAAGTACTGTCAGTGGGGAAGCCAGATTCTCTTAACTGGGTTACTAATTTATCAATGGCAGAGATTTATTTAACAAATGTGGCAAGGAAGGTTGTAAAATTGGGCAAAACTCACTTAACAAATGTTTCATTTAACAAGAGAAATTTTGGGCTCAATTGAGGTCATAAATTGGAGATTACCTGTATATGTCTGCTCCCCATACAATTCTATTTAAAAAATTGTGGCTGGTAGTTATAGAAACATAAAAAACACTAATGAAGAATGAGATAAATCCAAAACTGATACAATGTGTCCTTAATTTCCAGAATAAATCTAATATTAAGATTCAAAATTTTATGTTTGCTACCATCTATTTAAAAAGTTCCTGTAATGACAAAATTAAGTGCATTTGTAATAGAAGTAAAAATTCTGAAGTTGATTATAAACAAAGAAAGAATGACAACATAACTCATATCCTCAACGCTGAGTGCTTGCAACCAAAATAGGCCTGTGAATATAAGAAAATGTATCAGTTTCCATCCTTCTCCGTTATACAGTTTACCCGCCTCTTGTTTATTATTTTCTAGTCCTATTTTTCTCCTTTTACAAAAGATAGAGGATTTAAAGGGGTTCTTTTTTTTTTTTGTCAGCTAAAAGAATAACCTCACCCTGACTCGTCATCCCAATCATCAAGAAAACTTAAAAACAAACTTTACAAACTTACCTAGCAACGTTTTCAAGAATCAAAATTGCAAACTTCCTCCTGCAAAAGCCACTTCCGTCGGTGGCCACAGAGGGTGCTCCTCCGAGTTACAAACCAATAGCCGAAGAAGAAAACTACAAAACTACACTACCCAGCGTCCCTCGCGAGGCTGCCCTTCAAACTCGGAAGTTATGCATGGGACAGGCTGGTGGTGGAAGTGCAAGTGAGGTCGGTCTTCTCCCTTCGTCTGTTGGTAGGACTTGTCTCCTCCTGCTGCTGCTGCTGTGCGAATTTTTTCGGAGCCCCCGGGGAGAGATTTCATCGCTTGTCCGTTTCTGTCTCGAACCATAGCCATCCTCGACCATGAGAATCGCCGCCATCTTCCCAGAGCCCGGCTCTTGCCTTCTCCTTTTTCTGGTGAGCTCAGGAGCTAAGATTGAGTGTCTGGATGCCTGTTACACTCCGGGGGGGGAGGAGAGGGAGGGGGGGGGGGGAGAAAAACGAACAACGGATCATTTGCATGGCGGGCGAAAGAGGGTATGTATAGCCTGTCGTTTTTTCTCTCTCTCTTTTTTTTTTTTTTTGGCTCCTTGTTCCCCTAAATTTCTCCCAGGCGAGAAACCGGTACCGCGGGAACCCAGCCGGGCGGGGTAAGTGCCGTGCTGGTGTGGCTGTGTCTGATAGGCTGCGAACTTTTCGGTCCCGGAATCTCTAGCCGGCGACTGGGCGGGGTCCGAATGGCTCCGGGCAGGGGTTGATACAGTTACCTAGCAGGATATCTGGTTGCCTTAGAAGACCTACAAGATTTGCTTCTTCATATGGGGCTTTTCCTGACGGATACGTGTCAAGAGTTCCAGAAAAGATCATCTTCGTGGAGACTTTGCTTTACAACGTATCAATACATTAAACACACACACACACACACACACACACACACACATACCTTGTTTCTCGCATCCTGAGTTTCGGACCACTTTCATATCCTTTGGATAGAAATGGCCATCCCATATATGACTCAGGTTTTTCATGTATGTGATGAAATGATCGTTATATATTACCCTCTGTGTGAAATTTAATAAACATCCAGATGTATAAAAAGGTATTGAACATATATTAACTGCAGGTTGACAGTGATGCAGGCTGTCTAGCTGTCAGTCTAGAGTTCAAAGTAGAATTTGCTTCCTACTTTTAGCCATTTCTTTTTCCTGCCAAAGTGTCCTTCAACAAAAATGTAAAAGTTCTTATGGAAGTTGCTGAGTATTACATTATGTGTGATCTGCTGATCTACATAGTTGATCTTATATGGAAGATTTAAGACACCTTTCATTTGTGTTGGGAAAAATCTCACACACTGATGATACTAAAAAAAACCATCAAGGACTCCATACAATCTCAGTGGTTGGCGTTTAACATCCCTTTCTATTTCATATACTGAAGCTATCTTATTGCCTCAAATTCAAAATATCTTAAGTAGCCCTACTTATAAGGCAATGGCATACTTTATCTGTTCAGATTTGTTTAATGTTTCAGTTAAATAAAGGGATAGTTTTGATTTATTCCTAGAATATAAGATAATTTTTAACACTGCTACTTAAAAGATTGTTTTGTATGCGTTTGAATTGGTGTTGACTTCTGGTAACTGGCTGGACAAGCCCTTCAGTTTTCTTAGCAAAATTTTGGGAATAGATAATGACTGATCAAAGAATCCCATACTTCATATTTTAGGGAAATTAAATTTGCACACAAATTCTATTTTCTAGCAAATTTTGTTACCCAGTTAAAGCAGGGGTAAAATCTACTTACCTTCCTTACCGGTTTGGAAGTGCATGCGCGCGCAGACCCTCTGTGCATGCGCAAAACCTGCGCATGTGCAGAGGGTAAAAAACACATTACTTCCTGGTTAAAACCAAGAAGTAACGACAACTGGGTGGGAGGGCGGAGCCTCGTGCCACCATCGCTACTGGTTCTCTGAACCACCTCCCACAGTCGCTACCGGATCGCCTGATCCGGTCCGAACCGGGAGCATTTCACCCCTGAGATAAAGCTATAAATCCTTTTTTGTTGTTGTTGGTCCTTTAAATGAGTGGTGACTCCTGGTGACTACTTGAATAAATCCTTTCAGTTTGCTTGATAAGATTTCAGAAGTGGTCTGCCAGTGCCTGTGTTCCATGAATGAGAGACTTTGACTGGCCTAAAGTCACCCAGGTGGCTTTGTGCCTATGGCGGGACTAGAGCTTGTAGTCTTCTGATTTCTAGCCTAGAGCCTTAACTACTGCACCAAACTGGCTCATGTATTTCCATATAGCAAAACAATTTAAAATTTGGTTTTAAATGTGTAAATGGACCTTAATTTTGGTGAACCTAAAATGAAAAGTTCATTTCTGGGACTTGTAGAAATTAAGCTTGAATGTTATAAACCCAGTGCGTCAGATACTCACACAGCCACTGCCTATTCATTATTGATTGTTTTGTTTGACTTTTTTAGAAAGGATGATGTAGATCATAGATATTTCATGGATTTTTTACTGGATTACGCATTTTGAGAAATGCTTGAGTGAAAGGAGTCTCAATTTTTCTTATCTTCTGTTATGATCTACTGCAGAGAACATCATACAATCTTTCTCTGTATCCATAATGAAGACAATGAAGCAGACTGAAGTAATTCTTGTAGGTTTGTAAATCATGGCAATTATATGTAGCCTCCAGTAGCTGGGTCATTTTCTCTTATCTGGTAGTTCTGCATAAATCCAAGGCTAACTGATAAAAGTTCTTCACCTTGGATAATCTTTAGGGTTAAAAACAAAATCTTCTCTAACAAGATGGGCTAAAAGCCAAGTGCACATATCCGTATGATACCATGGAGTGCTCGGAGAAGACCAGCTTCAGATTCCATAAGCACCTCAAACTAGTGTTCCTTGACAGGTGCATTTAATTATCTATAATTTATTCACGAAAACATTAGGGAAGTTAAAACAGAACCATTCTTACAGGCATTCATTATCTTAAACTACTTTGGTCATCCTGTACTTTTTCCAGAGGCATTGAGAAACAGAAAAAGAGCTGTGCTTACTGGTACTTAGAATCATAAATTTGGAATGAACTCTTTAGGCCTTTGAGTCCAACCTGTTGTTCATTGTATGAATTCAAATGATAAATTGTTGTTCAACTTCTGCTTCATATATCCTTCATATATCCAGTGAAAGAGAGCCTGACCTGGGTAATTTGTCTGAATATGTGTGGTTCTTATTGTCCAGTAGTTGTTTCAAATTCCCATAGAATCTGTCATCCTATAACTGAATCCAATATTCAGTATCCTACATACTGGAAGGGAGCTTTGAGTTCTTATAGTCCCATGAAACCCTATACCATTTCAGACAAATGGTCCAATCACTTCTTAAATACTTCCAGTGTTGGAATGCTCACAATGACTGAAGCAAGTGTTCCACTTATTCTAAATGTCAGGAAATGTCTTCTTAGTTCTAGGTTGGTTCTCTCCTTAATTAGTTTTCATCCATTGCTTCTTGTCCTGCCTTCTGGTGCTTTGGAGAATAGGTTGAGCCCCTGTTCTTTGTGGCAGCCCCTTAGATATTGGAACACTGCTGTCACTTAGTGAACTGTTGTAAGTTGAGGACTATCTGTACTAGTATTTACCCCCAGCCTTGAAAGATTCCCATCATAATGTTTAAATTTCTAGTCCCCCAATCAACTTCATTGTTCTTTTCTAAATCTTATCCAATTTGAATTCTATAATCCACACAATTGGACACAGTACTTGATGAGATAGGAGAACCAGTTTGGTGTAGTGGTTAAGGCATAAGGCAAGAAACCAGGAGACCCAGGGAGCTCTAATTCCACTTTAGGAATAAAGTATAAGAAAACATGTTTCTTATACTTGCCTATCTTGCCCTCATGTCAAACTTTAGGATCACATTTTGTTTGCAACCAATTACTATTCCAAGATCACTTTTTTACAATACTAGATCAAATATTCACTATTCCAGTTTTTTTCCCCAACTGGGTTCCACAGCTCTGAGTAGGTGATTAAAGCTATTCAGCTCCTGCCTCAGGAGCTGCTTTTCCCATTTAACTTGCTACATCACAGGTATTTGCATGCCTTTAGTACAGGAAGTAATTACCCTACCTTCTTTTGCCACATGCACATGGACAACATCCAATTCTTTGTTTTCTCCCAAACAACAAAAAACATTTCTAACAAACTAGCAGAGCAAGAGGATCACAGTGAGTCCCTCTTCCCTCTTCAGTTTCCTTGTTACAGAAATGTGTATGTATACATATGTGTCTTCCTAAGAAGTTTGCTTTATAATTAGAGTTGTAACCTGTGCATTTCTACTTAGGGTAAGTCCCATTGAGTTGAGTTGGAGTTAATAAACATAGGGTTGCACTGCTCAACTACAGTATATTGTATCTCTGTCTCAAATCCTTTCAGGATGAAAAACATTTGCAAAAGTAGGAAGGAGGAAGATGGGTGGCTATAAAAGTGGCTATAAAAAAGTCCATTTTGTCAGAAATGGTGTAGAGAATCCTGCTTGGGCAGGAGGGGGGTGTTGGACTAGACGACCTACAAAGTCCCTTCCAACTCTGTTAATCTGTATGTTGCATTTGTCTATATTATTATGTTGCATAATAATATATATTATGATAACATCTGGATCATGAGAAGTGATAGTACTGCTTTATGCTGCACTAGTGGAATATTGTGTCCAGATCTGTCCAGTTCTGGTCACCAGCATACAAAAAAGATGTTGTAACCCTGGAAAGTGTCCAGAGAAGAACAATAAAGATGATAAAGGGTCTGGATGCTAAATCATATGACGAATGGTTCAGGGAATTTTTCAATATGTCTAGCCTATTGAAGTGAAGAATTAGGGGGTACATGATAACTGTCTTCCAGTAGTCTGTCACAGAGAGGAGAGGATTGACTTATTCTCCAAAGCACCAGAAAATATTAATTATAAATGGCGGATTTTCTGTATAATTTTTCAATTTCACAATATAAACTGAGATACTCATCCTAGATATATGCTCCTCAACATGAACAATTCCTTATATTTGAATATTTGTTTTTAACTAACATGTTCTATGTCTTGGAGGGTTGGAAATGCAAATTCCTGCCCTATACTGTACTTTTCATTTCATGTACATTATATGAATGAGAAAGTTTACATTGTCTCTACAGATAATCCTTGACTTTTGATGGCAATTGAGGCTGAAATTTCCATTGCAAAGCAAGGTGATTGTAAAGTGCAACAGCAATCCCTACATCCCTGTTGCTGTCATTAGCTGACTCACACTGTCATTAGGCAAGGCAACTTCCTGCTGGTTTCCCACAACCTAAGTCAGTGAGCTGGCAGGAAATTGCAAGCTTGTTGCTGCCAGGTAGAGTTGTTGAGGAGGTG